CCTCCGAGTGTCCAGGAGGAAGGCGTGTCCCTGTTCCCTAGATTGCGTAGGTGGGTGGGTTTTGCAGCCAAACTGTGAGCACCCAGTGTTCTTGGCTGTAAGGACTGGGGGGGCACCTTTTATTCATGGGCCACCTACCACAGGAGGCTAGGTGGCGTGGCTGGAGCTACCAGTCCTCAGGCCCCTGATGTGGGTAGGTGAAGACCCTGCTTAATGGGCAGAGCAGTGTCAAATATCCAAGAATCTGCCGCTTCACAGCTGAAACAGTTGAAGTTAGAATTACGGTACATACCTTGTTGTACTGCAGTAATGAGGGCCTACGCTGTTGCAATGGGCCCACACAAGTCTCTGCAGGGGGAAAGGCACTCAAAGTCCATGGATCCCTTATGCCTGTGCCTAGGCAAACGAGCTGTGCCTACCCTGCGTTCCTGGCTTAGGGGAGCCGGCAGTTTATTTTCTCCCCCGTTTGTTAGTTTATTCACTCATTAAGGCAGGGAGAATGGCTCTGGGTGTGTGACGGATCCTTCTTCCGGCCCAGGGGACTCGGCAATTGCTGAAGCCAGTCCGAGACCCAGTACAGAGCAGGGAGCAGGGAGGTAAACGAGAGAGAGGTTTTTCCCTATGGTACTTATCTTTCACCAATGAGGGCTGCTTCTCACTGGTTCTGGGTGGCCGTGCAGACTCTCAGCAGCTGGGTCTCTCCTGGTGCAGAAAACGCACCTCCTGAGCACAGCTGCCTGCCTGCCTGCCTCACTGCTTCCGTACCGTCTCTCCCTCTCCTTGCCACTCAGTCCCGTTCCTCAACTCTGCTGTTGATGTTCAGGGCTCCCAGATTGCCGTATATAATTGAATCACTTGTTTTTTCGAGTCTTTGTTGTAAGAGGGTCCACCGGAAGCATCTGACTACTCCACCATCTTGGTCCTGCCTCCTATATATTTATTCTTGGCATAATTTTTATATACTGAATAAATGAGATAGGATGAGATTTGAGGAATGAGATACACTGATCCAAAATGAACTGGCCTGGAAGTTGTTTGAGGGCATCAGATGAGTTAAAAATAAACAAAACTCACTGGAATTTGAACATAAGATTTATTCTGTATAGTGATTCTATGTGCATATCAACCAAAAAAACCCAAATCCATTGCCACTGAGTGGATTCTGACTCATAGGTACCCTATAGGCCAGAGTAGAGCTGCCCCATAGGGTTTCCAAGGAGTAGCTGGTGGATTCCAACTGCTGACCTTTTGGTTAGCAGCCATAGCTCTTAACCAGTGTGCCACCAGGGCTCTGTATGCATATAGGGAAGCTGTTTTGATTCCAGAAAAAGCAAATGGCTCAGAGAAGCCAAGTACAGTGAGGCTTATAAAGAGAAGAGGACGGAGAAATATAGACTATCAACCATTGGCTAATCTTAACATGATTAAGGGAACCCTGCCTGCCCCCTTTACTGAGATCAGCTGGTATCAATTTACTTCTGGCCTGGCTGCTAATAATTTGGCTTTCCACCCACCTGCAACCATGAGGCCTGCAACCATGAGGCTTTTTGAGATTTAAATTTAGAGGCAATGGCTTGACAACTGTCCTTTTTAGCAGGAAAAGAAAAATTTACATTGCTATAGAGCAGCTTCTGGTAGGCTTTTGCAGTTTGGGTAAGGCTTTTTTCATGGATAAGAAAAAAACAGTAAAATCAAAGATAGATGTCTGTTATTAATTTTCCTATGCAGCAGTTTCTTCCCATTACAGTGAAAAAGTATTGAGAATACCACTACTCTCTACTGTTCTCTGAACTGGAGGAAAGAACCTGGCCCAAAGTCTATTGTTCCATAACTTTTACCTGCAAAATCTTCTATCACAGATTCCTGTTAGAACAAATTATTGCTGGTACACATTTCTACAGTATGATTTGTGGCCCACTAGACTCATGAGGTACTTGTCTAACAGAGGATTCAATAAACAAACTATATAACCCATATGAAGATTTACATTGTACATTAAAGATTAAAGCATCCTCTCAGAAGAGTTTGAAATTTAATATTTAAAAGAAAAAAGCCACTTATCTTAGTTTCCCAAACTTGTTTAATCATGGAAGATCCAGAGGAGCACATCTGAGAAAATCCAAATAATGGAAAGAAAATGTTTTTTAAATATTGCCAGCAGATTCTCGCTTGAAGCAGTTTTTCTAATATTTTCCATGTTTGAAATCTATAATAAAGCATATGAAATTGAAAGTAAAGTATCTTTTTGGATTAGGATAAATATTTGTTAAGCAAGTTGCATGATGTATTATCATTCTTTGTCCTAGTATGAAAAAGTTCGAATATACAGAATGGATGGATCATACCGTTCTGTTGAGCTGAAACATGGAAATAATACAACAGTGCAGCAGATTATGGAAGGAATGCGTCTTTCTCAAGAAACACAACAATATTTCACTATTTGGATCTGTTCAGAAAATCTCAGTAAGGAAGATTTTATTCTTTTGTACAGTGAAACCTGTGAGAGCCGGAACTCAACGGTACTGCCTTGTTTTTCGGGGTCTCGCAAGTTTTCCACCTTAGACAAGGTGCAGTCTTACCACTTTTCTATTGCTTATTTTAGTGAAACATACTTGAGTTTTCCTTCTCTGACAGGTTTCCATCATACACAAGTTCTGCCTTTCGTAGGCTTTACCGTGTAAACCTAATTATTTCTTTTCAAGAGTGGAGTGATAAACCTAAGTATAGCGTATGCTTATTATTGGGTTTTAAATTTTCAAACAATGCAGTATTCTCTCTTATAGAAATTATTAGTTTTCAAATTACTGAAACAGGTAAGGCTCTGGACCCCCAAGCTGCTACATTCAAACTGGTTCCAGAGAATATTTTATTTGAAAATGTTTTTGGCTCTTAAATAGCAGCAGACATGTAAAATCCATTAAAAAAGCATATAAGAATTTTAATTTTATTTTGTTATGCTGTATAATCCATTTCTTGTCTTTCTTTTTGTTCCTATATTTCTTTTTTATTCTGAAGAGTAGGTAGAATTAGGAATATTAGGAGCTCACCTATCTTTAAAACAAAAACCACTAACAGGAACATTTAGTGAGAAAATTTATTGCATCTACTATTGGCAGATTGTCCAGAAGTGAATGTTGTGTCACAGCCTTGATTTGGAAAAGTTGATAGGAAGAAGACAACCTTTTTCATAAAATTGGAATTTTAAAGGAGAACCAGCAATTATTGACTGGGATATGTTGCCTAATATTTTTTCTAAAATTTCTTAGTAAAATAATGATTGATGCAAAGACAGATGTATTTTTTTAATAATATTTTATTGTGTTTTCAGTGACGGTTTACACAGCATTTCAAGTTCCCATTCAACACAAATTGTTCAGTGACATTGGTTACCTTCTTCACAATGGATGAATGTTCTCAATATTTCTGTTCTGGTTATTCCGTTTCCATTAATCTTGTTTCCCTGCCCCCTTGCATTCTCATTTTTGTTTTAAAGTAATTAGTGACCATTTGGTCTCATATAGATGATTTTTTAAAAGGAGCACAGTACTCATGGGTGATATCCTTTATTTTGTGAGTCAGTCTGTTGTTTAGCTGAAAGGGGACCTCAGGGGCTAGTTTTGGTTCAGGGTTTAAAGAGTATTGCAGGGCCATAGTTTCAGGGAGTCCTCCAGTCTCAGCCAGTACAGTAAGTCTGTTATATTTTGTTTTTAAAAGGAATTTGAGGTTCTATTCCACATTTTTCTCCCATTCTATCAGGGTTCATCTATTGTGGCCCTGACCAGCAAAGGCAGATTTTGAAGTAGTTTTCAGTTACTGTTGTGCTTTTGAAAAAGTATAGTGATTTCTCACTTATAACTCATGTTTGAAGTTACTTTTTTTCATATTGGTTATTATGGGTGTTTTGTTGTTGTTAGTGTTGTTTTTCTTTTCTATAAATTAGGGGAGGTTTTTGAATAATAAAAATGTGAGTACTATTGGAGGGATATCTTTTAGTGAAGTATTGCACTGCTGAAGGCCGAATTTTTCTTCTGTTCCAAATGAGAAGCTAGCCTTGCTGTTTACTGATGCTACAGCATAGCCACGGGATATTTATTACTGTATTATTATTTATTCTCCTTTAGTTTGATGAATAAGCTCATAAGTTAAGGAATCCCATATAGCTGAACCTCTAGGCAATGAACATGGCTCATTTGTTCTTCATTCCATATAAATTCAACATTTTATAAATTTATATATAACAAAGTATGCCTAAAGCATTTTTTAAGTTTAAGAACCAAAGCTTTCTTTCCCTGGCAGTGGCATTTGATTTGAATGCCATTAAATGGAGTGCTGTTACAACTTGCCTTTATTTCAGGGCTCACCTCCCCTCAAAGGAACAGAAATGTCCTTTTTCCTTATATTAGTTTTTTTAGCAAATATTTTTATTTAAAATCAATGTAATGTTGCTCTAGATTTGTCTCTGAAGACTAAATGTTGCAAATGTATTAAGGATTTAATTGAGGTTGTTGTGATTATCTTAATGGTTTAAATGTATTTTTTTTAAACATTAAACTCTACTGATTGTATTATAATTAAATGTATGACAGTGAAATTAAGGATGTATATATGTTTGATAAATTTTATTTAACAATTATTCTCAGGATTCTTATATTCTTAGAAACAAAAGCAATTAACCTCAGATTGGATGGTAGTAATGATTAAAATCAGTGTTGATTTACATTCAGACCTTTATGTGTATTTAGTTCATAAGTGCAGATAGTTTAATACAAGGTTTCTATGCATTGATGTAATTGATTTATTTTTACATTACCATTTATAAAAGGAAAGATGTTTTTCAGGCCTTCAGCTCAAGCCTTACCATAAACCCTTGCAACATGTTCGTGACTGGCCAGAAATACTTGCTGAATTGACTAATTTGGATCCCCAAAGAGAAACACCACAGCTTTTCCTAAGAAGAGATGTGAGACTTCCCTTAGAAGTGGAAAAAAAGGTTTGCTTGGGAATCTTTTTTATAGTCATTTAAATGCACAGAATCTATTAAGTTTTTATTGTAGGCACTAGAGGCAGAAAGGAAACTAACATTGTGTTCTTCCTGTACTAAGGGTTTTTACTTCTGTTTTCCTATTCAGTCCTCACACCCCTGTAGTAACTGGTAGAGTTTGAGAAGTCCTAGGTTAGTTTTTTTTCATTATTGCCCTCATTGTATTAAGAATACAAAAGAAATAGAGAAGCTATCCTAAGGAAAATTAGTAACCAGATGGGGAGACAAATTATACAGAAAAGAAAAAACCTACAATAGTTAGAAAAGACGTACAGTATATTTGTAATCATAGCAGCTATATTATTGTCAAAGATATACTTAATCAATAGGTAGTCATATGTGTAAATTTTGAAGGAGGAAAGTGACATTAATGTTGAGGTGAACAGGAAAAACATTCTTGGTGGAGAAGATTATATGCAAACGGGGCATAAGAAAGTTATTCTCAACAGTCAGCAAGTAGCTGTTCTTAACTCAAGCACAAAGCTATGTAGATAGTAATAAAAAATGAGAAATGAGAATAGAATTTACATTTCATAAAAAGATCTGATTATCAGACAAGTATGTTTGTATTTGAACAACTGTAGATTTTAGAAGAAAGGCGAGATAATGCAATATGTAAGATAGATGGGACGGGAGAAAGATGTGGCAGTCTGCTTCTGTAAAGATTTATGGCTTTGGAGACCCTATGGGGCAATTCTACTCTGTCTTATAGGGTCGCTATGAGTCAGAATCAACGTGACAGTAATGGGTTTTGGGTTAGGATAGATGGATAAGGGAAAAACCTAAGCGATTGCAACAAGATAATCTAGGTATGAAAGTCTAAATACAGTGGTAGCTGTGAAATTTGGAAAGAAAATATGACTCCCAAGTCTCATAGCTTTGGTGAAGGAAAAAAAAGAATTTCAGTGCATTTCCTGATTCTTTATCCAAGGGAATATTAAACACACACACAAAAAAACAAAAACCCATTGCCATTGAGTCGATTCTGACTCACAGCGACCCTATAGGACAGAGCAGAACTGCCCCATAGGGTTTCCGAGGAGTACCTGGTGGATTCAAACTGCCAATCTTTTGGTTAGCAGCCATAGCTCTTAACCACTAGGTCACCAGGGTTTCCATTAAACACGCAAGGGGAAGCAAATTTCAGCTCGTGTAAATTTCACCAGCCATGTCCAAGCTTGATAAAGTGTTTTTTACCTAACTTCTTATTTTTTATATTATCCCTCTTACATTAACAAAGAGAAGATAGATTTGATCCTTATTGCCAAACATACTGGGAGTTGCATAGAGATTTGTATGAAGTTTACCAAAAACTAAGGTCTTGATTATTTATAAAAGGTGTATTAGATACTTAAAATCTACAAATAACCTAAGTATTTTCAGTCTGTCTTCCTTCTCTTTTTTTAAATTGACTGGTAGAGGAAAGGAGCAATAGTGACAATACTTGGACAGTAAATAAATTGCATAATTATACTATAAATAATAAAAAATAGATGCAAATGAAAAGCAAAACAAGGCTTAGTAAATTTTTCTTAAGGTAAATCAGAATGTCATGTTCATCTAGTAAACTAATTGCCTTTTTTTTTTTTTTTACTCATTGTGTAATTAAGAAATTTCTGCATGTACCATCTGAAAGATAGAAGAATTATATTTATTGGTTAGTATTGAAGGCTTCTTTTAGAATGAAAACAGCCTGAATTCATTAGAAAATAATAGTTATTAACTGATACTCATTGAACACACTATTAGGAACTATAACTGTTATTACATGTTCAAACTCTGAATTCAAATTCACTATTCAATTTCTATTAGAAAAATATGATTTCAGTCAGTCTTTTTCTCAGCATTTTATTTAAAAATTTAAAACCCGTAAGAAAGTTGAAAAAGTAATACAGTTCACACCATATATTAGTCACTAGATGTACTAATTGTTAATATTTTGGTATATTTGCTTCATTTTTTCTTTTTGTGAACTATTTAAAAGCAAGTTGCGGACATCCTGGCACTTCATCCCTGCATATTTCGGCATGCATTTCCTAAGAACAAGGACATACCTACATACCACATACCATTTTTAACCTAATAAAATTAATATTTCTGTAATAACATCTAATATCTGACCCAAGTTCAAATTTTCCTCAGCTGTTTCAGAAAGTCTTTTGTGTTTTTTAGCTCTACTCTGTAGAATCTAGTCAAGTTTCACATATTGTATTTGGTTGTTACCTCTTTAATCTCTTTTAATCTAGAACAGTCCCCCACGCCATATCATTTTTTTTTTCTTGAAGTTGTTTCATGAGTATAAGCTGTTTCAGTTATTTTATATTGTATAGGGTATTATAAGGTAGAAAAAATAGAATCATTTTAGCTAGTTTGTCAAAACCATTTTTACCGTGAAGAGTTGGAATCATTGTAAATTATATTTGGAAATACTTTAAATATTCATTTAGAAACTTTATAATTAATGATTACTTCCAAGAAGAAATATATTTTCTAGGCTAGTTTTTCTCCATCTTTGTTAATCTTATTGAGTAAAGTGAAACTTTATAGTCTTAAAAACTTTAAAAAATATATCTTATGCTCTCCTTTAATGTTATTTGAAAATGCCAAGTATTTTTAATCAAATAAAAATGTTTGTTTTAAGCTTTTTAAACTACATGTACCCTTATGGGAATTGACCTATTTCCTTTTCTCTCCTTTGAGATTCATTACTATATTATATGAAGCATAGGTAATAGAGAAATGTTTCAGGGATACAAAGAATTTAGGTAAAACTGTACTAGAAATTACCCATATCCATAAACTGATGTTAATTTTATTAGACTTTAAATGAGAGGTCAGCAGTCTACAGCCTGTGGCCATATACAGCCTGCTGCCGGTTTTTTTTAGCCTGCAAACTAAGGATGGGTTTTTTATTCTTTTAATGTTTGAAAAAAATCAAAAGAATAGTAATATTTCACATCATGTGAAAAATTATATGAAATTCTCTTTTTATTATCTATAAATAAAGTATTATTGGAATACCACCACACCCATGTATTATCTGTGATTGGTTTTATGTTACAATGGCAAAGTTAAGTAGTTACAACAGAGATTGTATGGCTCACAAAACTTAAAATATTACTATCTGACTCTTCACAGAAGTTTGCCAACCCTTGCTATAAAGCAATTAACAGCTCATTTATGTACAAATAACGTAGTTTTTCCATATTAGACAATGACAGTTTGCACATTTGCAGTAGGAAATTGTAGCCCAATAACTAAATTATACTTTTTTTTTTCCAGATAGAAGATCCACTAGCTATTCTTATTCTCTTTGATGAAGCCAGATATAATTTATTGAAGGGCTTTTATACAGCACCTGATGCTAAACTGATAACATTGGCAAGCCTACTGTTACAAATAGTTTATGGAAATTATGAGGGTAAGAAACACAAGCAAGGTTTCCTAAAGTGAGTATTTAATACAATGTGTGATCTTGTGCACGCTCATGATTCTGTTTAACCAAGAAAGTTGAAAAATGTTAAGAAATATTTGTAACTTGGTTTGGAATTAAATAATACAAGGCATAGAATGAGAAAAGAAACTACTATAGTAAAGCATTCCTAAAGATATAATCTCCTCAAAGTTATTTTTCTTACATTTGAGTATATTTATATTTTTTCTTTAATATATCTTTCTTTACTATATGTTTAAATAAGTTCACTAAAAATTGAAAAAGTAGAAGAAAAATACTGTAAGGCAGATGCAGTTAGGAATCACATCATAAAAACTAGCTTTTATGTTTAGTCCTTGAGAGAAAATACAGAGGTTTTAGCACATCTGAAGTTTGTTTATTGTGATTTGCAAGTTTTAAAAATATTCTGTGTTTATTGAAAGAAGAAACATTGCTCTAAATTGATGTTAGAGTTGTGGCTTTTGGCTTAAAATTTTTAGAGCTCTCTGATATTTTACAACATAGCGTTTTTCAGCTTAAAATTCATATTATATACTTAAAACCATTTTTGACAGAATGATAATTGTACTTTAGTTACTAAAGATGATTTAGTTAAAGGATGTTGGCATGTTTGCTTACAGTGAAGAAAATCTAAAATCCATTGTACCTATCACTAAATTGAAAAGTAAGGCACCTCACTGGACAAACCGAATCCTTCATGAATATAAGGTAAGCTGTTCAATAGAAGTAAAAAGACATCTTACAGCCTAGTTGAAAGTTTGTTGATGTTATTAATTTGTTTTAAACATATATATATATGAAGTTTATAGTCCTGAAATTAAAAATAGATCTTCCAGTTCACATGCCTGAAACTGAAAGCAGCAAAGATATTTGTATTTCTAATAATATAGAAGCTTTTTCAGGCAACATTTACTGGGTACTTCTATTATGCTGGATACATTGAAAACCCTGTGGAGTGCAGTTCTACTCTGAAACACGAGGGGTCACGATGAGTCAAAATCAACTCGACAGCAGTGAGTTTGGTTTTGGTTTGGTAGTAGGGGCTAGAGATTAAAAAAAGATGAAATAATACTGTCTGTGCCCATGAGGCACTTAGAGTAGATAGCAACAATATTTTTAAGTTTCAATATTTTTTTCCCCCCAATATTAAAATCTCAAAAGAAAAAATACTCTTGGTATAATCTCAGTCACTTTTATTCTTCTTTAGGGGCAGTCTTGATTTTGAAAAACTGCGTAGTTGACCTATTTGTGTTATGCATTCTTTTCTCTCTCACATCTCTTCTATTTTACTTTATTTGTTTTTAGAATCTTAGTACAAGTGAGGGTGTCAGTAAAGAAATGCATCATCTTCAGCGCATGTTCTTACAGAATTGTTGGGAAATTCCTACATATGGAGCAGCTTTTTTCACAGGACAGATATTTACAAAGGCAAGCCCTAGCAATCATAAAGTCATTCCTGTGTACGTAGGAGTGAATATAAAAGGACTTCACCTCCTCAACATGGAAACTAAGGTAGTTTTTAAGCTTTTTGACCAATTCATCATTTAATATCTAAAATAGCATTGTCTGCTACATGAAAAATCTAAAAATGGGATATATATAAGATTATTCCCTGCAACTTCATTGATAATAGCAAAATACCAGGGGAGATTGAATGACTATCAGTAGGAGTTAACATATTAATTATAGTACGTTTCTGTATTGGAAAAGTAAAGAATTTTTGTGTGTACAATGATATTCAGAATATATTAAGTGAAAAAGCAAGTTTTTAAACCATATGTAATATCCTGCCTTTCATGTAAAAATGGGGGGAAGGGATGAAAAATCTCTTAAAGCCTTTAGAAAAGGGAACTAGTAATTAGGAATAGGAGTAGGAAGGATACTTTTCACTATATACCAGTTTATAACTTAAAAAAAAACTTATTGTGGTAAATATATATATAACAAAACATTTGCCAGTTCAACAATTTTTTAAATTGTGATTTAAGTGAAAGTTTACATGGCAGATTAGTTTCTCATTAAACGGTTAATACAAAAATTCTTTTGTGACATTGGTTACCAACCCCATGATGTGTCAACACTGTCCCCTTCTCCACCCCAGGTTCCCTGTTTACGTTCATAGTTTTCCTGTCCCTTCCTGCCTTCTCAACTTTGCTTTTGGGCTGGTGTGCCCACTAGCCTCCTATACTTTATTGAACTTTGAAGCACGTCCTTCACGTGTGTTATTGTTGGCCCTATAGACCTGACTAATCTTTGGCTGAAGGGTGAACCTCAGAAGTGACTTCAGTACTGAGTTAAAAAGGTGTTAGGGGGCCATACTCTCAGGGTTTCTCCAGTCTCTATCAGACCAGCAAGCCTGGTGTGTGTGTGTGTCTGTGTGTCTCTGTGTCTCTGTGTCTCTGTGTCTCTGTGTCTCTGTGTGTGTGTGTGTGTGTGTGTGTGTGTGTGTGTGTGTGTGAATTTCAATTTTGTTCTACAGTTTTCTCCAGCTCTGCCTGGGACCCTCTATTGTGATCCCTGCCAGGGCAGTTGGTGGTGGTAACCGGCACCATCTAGTTGTCCTGGGCTCAGTCTGGTGGAGGTTGTGGTAGTTGTGGTCCATTAGTCCTTTGGACTAATCTTTCCCTTGTGTCTTTGGTCTTCTTCATGCTCCTTTTTTCTAGCCGGGATAGGTCCAGTAGATGTATCTTAGATGGCTCTCAGGCTTTTAAGACCCTAGTTGCTACAGTCAGATGTGGAACATTTTCTTTATAGACTATGTTATGTCAATTGAGCTAGATGTCCCCCGAGACCATGGTCCCCAACCCCTCAACCTGGTAGCTTGGTCTCTCAGGGCGTTTGGATGTATCTGTGAAGCTTCTGTGACTTTGCCCTGGTCAAATTGTGCTGGTTTCCCCAGTATTGTGTACGGTCTTACCCTTCACCCAAGTTACCACTTAACCACTATCTAGTGTTTTTCCGTCCCCACCCTTCTCCTCTCTCGTACCCATCAAAGATTGTTTATTTCTGTGTAGAAACATTTTCATGTGTTTTTGTAATAGTGGTCTCATACAGTATTTGTCCTTTTGTGATTGACTTATATCACTCAGCATAATGCCCTCCAGATTCATCCATGTTGTTAGATGTTTTGAAGATTCATTATTGTTCTTTATTGTTGCATTGTTTTCCGTTGTGTGTATGTACCATAGTTTGTTTATCCATTCATCTGTTGATGGGCATTTAGGTTGTTTCCATCTTTTTGCTATTGTGAATAATGCTGCAGTAAACATGGGTGTGCATATGTCTATTCATGTGAGGGCTCTTATTTCTCTACGATATATTCCTAGGAGTGGGATTGCTGGATCGTATGGT